AAAGCTATTATGGATCTTCACCGACAAGCCCGGGCGAAAACCTTGTTGCAGTTCATATGGGCCACTGGCATGGTGGCTGGTTCTGAACATATTGCTCTGCAACATGATCAAATGTAAACGAAAGTGCTACATAAGGCTATGACAGCATTTAGGAGAGGTGAAGATTGCGTGATCACTGCATGGTCTACACAGGATAGCATCAAGGGAAGTTAGAGGCTTGAAGAGGCGAGAAGAATCCTTGGACAGGGGTTGTTGGTAGAGCCAAAATTTTGCAAGTTTACTTGTCTTCAACTAGGAATCAACTGCCTTGATGCTGATGTCTTTAGTTACTGTATCAACGAAGTTTGGTGATTTGCCTTGAACTTCGGTGAATTGCCTTAACTTCCACGCTTGCTGAAGACAAGTCCACTTATTGAAACTGTTGTTGTTGCCCTAGAAAGACCCTGCTAAGGATTTTTTATGGTGCACACATAAAATGTGTGAATTCAAATAGCATTCAATGAGTGTGAGAACATAAATATAAGGGTTCCAAACTTATTGTGACTGGCAGCTCATGCTTAACAGTGCAGTGCTAGGTATATAAAACAGTGCATAAAAACCCGGGCAAAAGTGTGACAATATCAACCAAAGGGCAACAATACATTTTACTTTTTTTTTGTACCTTAAGATGAATCCAAATGGACTGGCCCTATTTGCCATATTGCTGCTAATGCAGTGTATCTTATTCTGGGGCACAGTACCGGCAGTAGCACCCAATATCATAGCCTAACAGCTAAAGTGTTGCACTGCTTGGCTTGATGATGCGATTTAGATGTATGGCCATGGCATCTGCATTTTAATGGTGATGAAATGCAAAGCCACCCATGCACTTTAATACACGTGTAATTTAACCCCAGGTGGTCAAATTTGTCTAGTTATCCACGACAGCTTTTCTCACATCATGGTTCTGGCACTGTAAGCCCCAGAAGTTTTAATGATTATTCTAAAACAAATACTAGCAGTTGCAAGGAGACATGCAAGCACCACTTCTTGTCTTGTGCCTTGCTATTCTTTTCCTGCGGCAGGAGAGGAACCTGTAAACGTATGCTTACAAGCAGTGCTGCATTCTTGGATATTTGTTACTGAAAAGGTTGTTCTATGTATTCTTTATAGATTGAAAATTAACATATTTGCCACTACTATAAATATTATCCAAGCACACATTGCAGCACAGCAAATTGTAGAAAACCCCAAATACTGTTTCCAAGCACTACGTATGCTGCAAAACTTGAAAAGAAATTTTTGGTAATGTGGCCAGTCGAAAAAAAAAAAAAATGCGACGAAAGTTTAAAGAAAGTCTAGGAGTGGCATCAGAAAATATAAAGGCTCAGTATACTGCCATTCTTTTATAAAGAATGAAGCTGTTACAGGAAGACTGTAAACTAGGAATTCCTTCACTGCTCTTGCCGTGTAATGAAACATTCTCCTGTTTTTATGAGGAACATGGCCAAAACATTTATTTTTAGCTCGACTTTGTGAATGATATTTGATTTCTTGGAGGAAAGTCCATAAAAGTAGGTGGTCCAGCAATGTTCTAGTGTCGAATGCAGTTCTTATAAGCTTCGTGTAGTGCCCACCCTACTGCGCGAGAACAAACACATGTAAAAATTATTTTTCTCTCGTACAATAACCGAATGGAATTGTATAATTGAATTGACACCATAATGCTGATTATTATTAATTTGTATAGCGTTTCACCAAACATATTGACTATTTCTGTATTAGTGTCCTTGTTTTGTTTGTTCTTTCTTCTTTAACATGTTCACTCTTGTACCATTTTATTGCCCTCCCTGCTTGGACTATGTCTCTGCAGCATTTGATAAATAAATAAATAAAATTTAACATAGGGCACAGGGATAACGTACACACAGGACAAGTGTAACAGCTACATTTTGTCATGAAATGCATTCCCATGTGCATATGCAGTCGTGTAGGTACATGCAGATGGACGTCCATAATGTGATCATAGCAGCCGTCCAGTATGGCAGATTATGAAGAATTCAGATTTATAACCATCATTCCAAAGACTTTTTTTTTTTTGTTGCACAGTGCAACAGATGTGTGTCTGATAAAGTTGCTCTCTTTATTTCTGTGTCTCTGGCAAGTGCAATCGCACTCCTGCCCAGAATTCAAATACTAGTCAGCATCGTCTCAGGGGCACAGTTTTTACAGTTGACAGGTAAATGAAAATAATTATTATTAGCATACTGGTAGTGTTTCCCATACTCGATCGTTGCTGCAGTGACCTGTTTGTCCAATTTAATCTTTTCTACAGTTTGGTGAGACTTCTGCAGTTTTACTTATGCTCAACTTGGGCATCTTTTGAGCTGTCTTGATTAAGTCAATTATTCTCTGTGAAGATAGTGAGTGAAGCTTTCGAAGTTGTACTTAAGTCGCTGCACAGATGCGAAAGCCGTGGGTTTTAAAGGGGTTCTGCATGCAACCCTTCTTTAAGTAACCATCTAATGTCTTCACTAAAGGAGTTTTTGCCTTATGAATCAACCGCCACAAAATTTTTTAGAATCCGTTAAGTACGAGTGGAGGTGGAAATTTGTAGCCAAGAAAGGGAAAGAAAACGACCACCTTTGCTAGCTTCCTGGTTAGCTCAATTGCTAGAGCGATTGCGCCGGAAAGGCGTTGGTCCCGGTCCAAACTCTGGACCAGGACGAATTTTTTGGCAACTAAGAGGCATTCCTTTTGATAAATCATAACTGGTTTCTTTGTGGCTTCATGCTACAAATGGATGGTTGTCTTTTTCTCTTTCTTAACCCTTCCGCCACCTCGCAGGTTTCCGCAGACTCATTTGCAATAAATTTAGCTCGAGCGCACCGTGCTCAGATCACCATTTGCTGAGACTTGACCTGGGACGTAGTGATCTAGAGTCTGTAGCGTCATTTGTGGAGAAAGGAGAAAGCAATTTCTAGCCGGCTTTAAAGGTAATGGTAAATTCCAGGGTTTGTGCTGTGCCAGAATGCTTGACTTGCATGATCTCAACATCGACTACTGGTCAACAGCGTTCTTCTGACCCTGCTGAAAAAGTGCTGCAGGGCCTTATTAACCTTGCTTAGGTCTCTTGTTCTCATAAATGTATTAATTAAATGATAATAAATAAACAACAATAAATTTACATAACAAAGTTTTGCAGAATGGGTGCTGTAGGGAAGCTGTACACTGATTGGCAAGTGTTAATAGTTCAGGCGTTTGAAGACAAGAATAAAATGGTAATGACTCAAAAACTAAAATGCAGAATAATTATCAGAAGGCCAATTATGATTGCACTTAACACTAAGGTAATGCTGAAGATTAGGCTTGTTCGAATGGCGAATTTCAGGTTTGAAGCTAATTTGAAGTGAATGTAGTGATTTTGGTCCAATAATCTCAAATCGAATTCGAATATAATATGTATCACATGTTATGAAAAAAATTGGTATATTTGTCATGACCTAACTAACTTGTACAATATTTTTTAAAAGTTAAAAAATGACCTGTGCAAATGTCATTTTTTTTTGTTTGAAGGAAGTGGAAACAATATTGATTATAAGCAGAATTTGACTTTCAGGAGAATGGAAGTGATAACCTGTAAAATATGTTTTAAAGTTTACTTTGCCTATAGCATTTAAGCTGGTATGACATACTTTTAAACTTAAAAATCTTAAGTATGACGAATCGAGAGGGTATTACGCTCATTTCACCCTAAGAAGAAGCTTCGCCGCAGTGCAGATTTCTCCTGGATGGTAGTTTTCATGGCTTGGCACCACTTTAATGCATTGAAACCACTTTTACAGGGGGTTACATGCGAATTATTATACAGCTTAATAAGTGCTTTCACAACTTAGCAGCCCTTTACAGCAGTGAAACCACTTTTACAAAGAGTTACATGCGGGCTATTATACCTCTATTCATTTATTCCAAATACTTCGAAACTTTCAATAACTTTTTACTCAAATTGTAGTGAATTTGAATACAGTAATATTCGTTCAAATGTTCGAAGCTTGCGAGTATTCGCACAAGCCTACTGAATATCTTCGCAAATGGAGCATTCACGATTGGCAGCCAATCTATGAAGTTGGTGCTGGAATAAGCATACCTAGGTCAGTTACTGGGGAGCATACTCGTGTAAAGGAAATTCACACACGCACAAAAAAGATGGGTTGGGGCGCATACGGCAGGCATCCCCATATCGTGGCATTCTTATGCGGCTGCCCGCAGATGAGAAGTTCGCAATTGGAGCATATTGCCAGCTGTGAAACGTGGGGTGAAACAGGTGCCAAGCTTTTTTTTTATTGCCCGCTCACCTACTGCATCAATGAGACATGGAGCAGTGCAAGCTTTGCTTAAAAATGTTTTCTATGGTGACATCATAGTCTCACGAAGTGCACTCAGTGTGCTGCTTACTGTTAGTGTGCCAGCAGTAGTTTTGTGACATCATTTCTCTTGCTTTGCAAATAGCAAGCTTGAATTGCATGTGTCCGAACCGATAGCAGAAGTCTTGTAGATTGTCTGTGTGACCTTACAAACACTGTTAAGGGGGGAGGATACCGCCGTTAACTACCGATGAGTCCAATTTAATTCCCCGCCACTCACTACTCGTTACTGAGAGCCCTATGTATATTTTTCAAGGGTTCTGTCATTGTTATAGTAACTCAAGAAGTGGCTTGAAATCGAATTTTCTAATTGACCCTAGAAATGTTATGTATTTGCTCCTAAACCAAAGGAGCGTGGACCACATAATATTATTATATGGCATTTTATTCAATGCTGTATTCGTCTGGTTGGAGCAGAGAAGTAGGATATTATGCAAAGAGCCTGCTCCTCCCCCCCCCCCCCCCCCCCCCCTGTTTCGATAGCATTTCAACCTTTCCTAGATGGAAACTTCAGCTGTGCTAATGCATTGTGGACCTAGCTGCCATAATCATATACTTAGCTGTGTTGACTTTCTCCCTGCATTTTTTTATCTAAAGGTTGTTGATGTGGAGTCAAGTAATGGTTTGAGACCCATCGCCAACAGTGCCAAGAATCCAGTGCCAGCTGCGCAAGTATTGGCACCTCTCAATGACTTCGCCCTTCAGCAGGCTGCCAAAGCGAGCCCAGAAGTCTCCCAAGCCAAGGGCAAGATGTCTTCCACGCCGGGAAGTGCTGTTCCGGATGCCATCCTGTCACCTCTTCAGCAGGAAGGCAAGGCCAACCATGGAAACAATGAACTGTCTGGGTTGCCAAAAAACCAAGGCCAGCAGCCTGTTGGCCAGAAACCTCCAGTTGTGTCACAGCCAGGAGTACCCCAAGTTGCTTTGCAGCCTTCAGCTCAAGTAGAGCCTTCGCAGAGGCCACCTGCTCAGCCTTTGGCACGGCCTGTCCCGCAGCCTGCAGTCCAGAAAGAGCAGAACTTTCTGCATAAGCCTCTGCAGCAGCCGGCACCGCTCGGAGTAAATGCAGATCCCCTGTCCCAGATCAAGGGTCAGCTTTCACAGCTGAATGTGGACCAGCCTGCTGCCGCGGAGCATGGTTTCAAGCCTGGTGAACAACCTCCTATTGGAAACCAGGCACCTCCAGTCTTGCCAGCTCCCAGCATTGCAAAATCATCGCCACCAGCAGCCGGGGTATAAATTTTGCTTATACATTTATTAATTTTTCACTTGTGCATTTTAACAGCCATCTGATTCCTCAATTGGAACATCAGCTTGGTTTCTAACAAGTGTCTATCGTTGACCTCAAGAATTTTTGTGTTGCACAGATTTGTTTCGGCATTAATGCACATTGTTTATGAGTTCAGCCAGGTAAACTGTAGAAGCAGTAAATCTCTTTTTAATCTTCACTTATCGGCAATGTAATGTGTACTGTATGTTGAAGGCTTTCTTTCTTACAGGCTATGCCATCTCTTTGTCATCAGCAGCATAATTACTATTCTTTTATCTTCAGGTGGGTGCCAAGAACCAGGGTATTGCACAACCTGGTTTGCCTGACAGCTTAGGGGAACTTGTAAGTACACAATTGCTTGAAGTTGGGTTGAGAAATTTCTGAATACCAACATATGGATCTTAGAGGACCATCTTGGTAATGCACAGTGCTTTAGACAGTAATCCATGTTCAGTGTCGCTTTTGTTGGCTCATGTATTTGTGTGCTGTTTCTCAGTATAACATCACAAAATAGCTCATGATCAGGTTAACTGGGCGTTATGGGCAGAAACAGCGCACAAACTCACCGGACGAAGAGAAGAGACACAAACAAGCGCTGTCAACTTTTTTTTTTTTTTCTTTCAAAGACTCAGCAAGAGGTAGTAACCGCATGCTTTTCTTTTACCTCTTGCTGAGTCTTTGAAAGAAAAAAAAGTTAACAGCGCTTGTTTGTGTCTCTTCTCTTCGTACCGTGAGTTTGTGCTCTGTTTCTGCCCATAATGTATCACCAACTAGCCCAACTTTGTCTTAACTGGGCGTACCAAATTCATTTGAAGCAGTGGTTAAATGTTAAAAGAAATACTTGAGCATATAATGCTTGCCGATCTACACTGTTAATCAGTAGCTGCAACAAGTTTGGCACAGATTGATGGCTGCTGATTGGTGATGTTCTTCAAATCGAACCAAAGCAGATCGCTTGCATGTTTCTCACTTTTGCTGGGGACTTATGTATGTGGCTGAATAGTCCTGTTGATTGTTTTCAACAGCCTCCATGTTGATTGTAGTGATGGTTGGCTAGCATTCTGCATGAGGTGTGTGCGTGTGTGCAATAATATTCAGAGTAAGCATTCCCTCCAATTTCATGCTTAATATCAAATTTACACACCATTTCGGAAAAGTGTTCCCTCTTTACTTTGTACCCTCACATACTAGCCAACATCGCGTCCATGCTAGAATCCAGTCAATCTGAACAGCCTAATTTCTAAGCACTTGCACCTGAAAATTCTCATGTAAATTTGATTTTATTTTATTTCCACATTTTGATTGCTGCCTGAAAATTTTCTGGATCCCGCAATCAATAGCGTGGCCTTTGTAGTCTGGATTTGCAATTTGAATGGGGTAGCCGCAACATTTGTTGTGACTCATTTTTGTGAGTTATGTGCGAGAGCTGGAAAACGTTTGAGGAAGTACATAAGCATTCCGTCTTACCTTTTTTTTATCAAGAGAACTTTGTCACTGTCATGTTGAATTTGGGGACAGTTCCAAGAAACCATCCTCCTCCATTTTGCTGGTAATAGTCACTTGCTGAGGCTGGGGAAGGGGGGGGGGGGCTTGCCGGGAATTTTATGTGTGTGTTAAATTTCCAGCAATTTCACATGTGCATAGGCACCGGTTAGATAAGCATTTGCTTAACTACTGCACGATTTTAAATAACAGTAGTAGAATACCCGTGGGCTAATACTTCATAGAATAGGCTCGTTGTCATCATTTTAAGTGGAAACTAACAAAAGCAGTTGTTACACGAGTGACAAGTCCACATGTCAGAACATTGGTTTCACTGACATATGAAATTTCGTAAGGTTGACAATTGGGCTGGGCTAGTTGACGAGGTTCCATTACAGTTAAAGCAGTACGAAAAAAGGAGTCACTACAAGCACTTACTCACAACTTAAATGTTTATTATTAGAACCATAAAAAGAAACATGAAAAGGAGTGAACTCTAATGGACTGTGCAGTCACTGCTACGTAGAAAATTTGTGTGAACTTGCAAAAAGGCAAGAAAATAAAAATTTTACTAAAAAACAAATATAACTTCTTAAAATCGGAGATTTTGCACATAGGTAGGTATGACTACATATCGTCGAAAACCTTCAAAATTCCAAACAACCACTATGTATGTACCTACTGTGAGTTCGCTTAGCGATAATGCCACTGCAGGATAGCTTCCACCAACATTGCTAATGCAGAGGGTTCCGGGATTTCATGTGCTGTGTCATTCCTGTGTTTATACGTAATTGTTCTCTAATGAAAAATAGGTGTGCACTTGCAATGCTTGGAGTGGGAAGATCGCAGCAAGCCGTAATTGGCATTCAGAGTATTCCTATGTTCTCTAACTAGGTGTCTTGCTCTGCCGCTGTGGTCTAGTGGCTAAGGTACTTGGCTACTGACCCGCAGGTCGCGCAATCGAATCCCGGCTGCGGCGGCTGCATTTTTGATGGAGGTGAAAATGCTGTAGGCCTGTGTGTTCAGATTTGCGTGGACTTTAAAGAACCCAAGGTGGTTGAAATTTCCGGAGCCCTCCACTACGGCATCTCTCATAATCATATGGTGGTTTTGGGACGTTCAGCTGCACCTATTAATCAACCTATCCAGGTGTTTACCAAGTGTGCGGTCTGCTCTATGTATACAAGGCCGCAGGCCCTTTTGCAAGTTGGTAGGGTTTCTATGTGGCAGCGACTGCACAGTTTGACTTCACTTTTTTTCATATTTCTTTATGCTTTCTCTAATAAACCTTTCAGTTCGAGTAAATGCTCATGTGTCTTCTTTCTTCATCCATGTTGCTTGCACTGCTTTAACTATAATGAACGATCCCGACTGCGGTGGTCACATTTTCAATGGAGGCAAGATGCTAGAGCCCCGTTTACTGTTCAGCGTAAGTACACATAAAAAAAAAAAACACTGAATAGTTGAAATTTCCGGAGCTCTCCACTATTGCATGCCTCAAAATTATATTGTGGTTTTGGTATATAAAACCCTAGTTATTATTACTATTATTAACCATTGCAAAACCACTGTCAACCTCTTTAAGTCTTATATTCAGTGTTACTAATTTGTGTTTGAATTGATGGGAAGTTATTCTCCCGGAGTCCTTACGTATTCTGGTTGTATGACACAATACATCATTGACAGCCGGACAATATGGCTGGCCTGGAAAAGAAGCCAGCAGGTGACAGGCTTGCGCCAGCCAAGGCATCAGGTTCTCGAGGAGTAGCAGGAGGCATAGCTGGGGCTTTCAAGAAAGCTGCAGATGGCATGGGCTTTGAGGAAGGAAACGAAATGGAGCTTGGTGCAGAGAAGGTGCTGTCGAACAAAGGGCTGAACAATGGTGATGATTTGCTGATCGCTGGTCAAGTTGGAAAGGCACCACGAGTTAAGCTGGCCCGCCCCAACCAGCCGCAGCAGCAACTGGCTGCGGGAGGAATTGGAGGTGGTGAAGATGACATGGACTATGGCAATGCTGGTAAGTTTGTCTTCTGAGCCCTTGCAGAAATTTCCCACTGACATTGGGAGAAATGCTCGCTGTTTGGCTGGCTTCTCTAAAGTGCAAAATCAATTGCAAGGCTTCTTTTCAGGCAATCCAAAGTGAAGGTGGGAGCCTACAGATGGAAACTCAACACGCCGTAGAGGCTATATGAATGGGAATCTCGGACAGGCTGGTTGTCATTTCGATTGTTGAACCTATTTTGGTCAAAGGCACCTTGTTGTCTTGGGCGTGTTAGCTTTAAAGAGGGTTAGTCATTGACGATTCATGCAATATCGCTGTCGGTGACTACAATCTGTCAAAGAATAATATGAAAAAGAAATTTCTCTTCATACAGCCTCTATTGCATATTCCCCTCGGTCAGCATGTTCTAAAGTGATGAAAATATATTAAATAATTGGAGGTATTGTTCATTTCTTTAAATAGTAAGAGTAAAGAGAAAAAAATGTGCCAGTGTGTAGGTCATGCAGAATGTGGTAAGTTTTTGTTATAAAAGTGAAAAAAAAAGAGAAAAAAGGGACAGGATGGCAGGTGAACTTTGCGTGAAAACGAAATGAAAGGAAAAGGAGCTCAAGCAGTAAGCAAAGTTGGTAACCCCAGCTCTGTGTGCTCTTGGTCTGTATTTCTCAGGAATATTTCTTATAGTGTGTAATGTGTCACCCATGGGCCAGCTGATTGTTAGATTGGCATGTCGGGACACTCTAATCAACTGAGGTCCTGTTTAAGGCACTGCTAGTCATGGTAGCTGAGTTATGGTTGCGTGTTGTCAAGTACAAGGTTCATTTTACCCATGGTGGCATCATATTGATAAACCCGTTGTCAAAATGACACCACCATGGGCCAAAAAACATTGTTATCAAATTGAGGCAGTAAAATCAGACTGAAAGGCAGAAATTGCAATATGCAGTACAGTATCTATCGTTGGTACATTTTTCATGGTAATTAGAAAGTAAAACATGCAAGTATAGCATTAATCAAACTGGTTAAAAAAAAGAGAAGGAAACCACATAAACTTCGTCAGCAACTCAATTTTATTGAGCAACATTGAAGTAGCGTGTCCATTTGTGCCGTACTTCTTTCTGTTCAACGTCTCGAAGTAAATTAGCCTGAAAAGTGCAGTTTGCTTACTCAGCTCTGCATTTGTGACAAAGCTACAAAGTGTGTCTACATGTTCGAGTGTGTCGCTTGCTGTCGAACACTGGTTGCCATGTCTCTCTGGCTTCTAATGTATTGTCGTCATTGCTTGAGCTAGTATACCAAAGAGTGAACGTAGCGTTTCTATATATTGATGCGGACCAGAGCCTCACCTGGCGCATTCCCGCTGACGTGGGTTGCCGAGATGTCAGGGTTATGCCAGACCTGGACTCCTGTGATAGCGTGGAGAGAAACTCAGGGTGGAGGAAACGATGTTGACAAGTTGGGGAAACGAAAAACAGATTTACTGGCAGTTTGATGTCACAACATAGCAGGTTAGATTTCAGCAAACCACAAGTGTGGTGGATGAATCGTTAAACCATGGCTCAGAGCGACCTCCTGCACTTTGCAGCGTTGTTTTAAGCCGTGTCAGGCTCCTCCTCCTTGATTGAAACACCAATCACACACATGACACCACCCACAGTGGCATCAGCCAATAACACACGGTCACCGAATAGTCATTGCACCTGCTGACACAATGTTCCTCTGGTCAGTTTCACTGAAGAGGGGTGAAGGGGAGTCCTTCACGAAGCAAGTTGGCGGATAAGTGCTTACTGCCGTCTTTCCCAGGAAGGGTAGCAAAGGATTAGCGACTTAATCGCTTAGTCATGACTTGTGAGGTCAGTATGCCACGCTGCATCCCTAAACAAGCCATCATAGAGAAAATGCCTGTAGGAACGTTGGCTTACGGACCGTCGAAGATGCCACATTCTTATTCTTTTGCTGCTTAACACTGCTTGAAACTCATTCTGAGAGAAAAGTCACGGAGTTTCAGGTTGTGGGAACTTGCCCCGGCTATGCTTCTCATGGACAGCATATCGACAACGAACAAAAGTCACAACAATATATCTGTCAAGATCCACTTTTGCAGTTTTGTTATCCAGTTCTAGGCGATATTTTGATTGGATGAAATTCATCAAAATGCATCGTGTTTAAGGGACGTTGGATCGAAATAAAAGTAAAAGTAAAACAATGTAGTTTTGCCATTAAAATGGGTATAGCATTATGCAACATTATCAGTGGGGCACCGATGGGGGTCGGTTTATGCGGAGCTGTAGCCCTCACCTCCCCATGAAGTTGATATGTCCCCCGCTGACCTTATGTCATAATGTCCTTTGCATCAGAGTCCAATGTATACCTTCGAGACTTCTGTTGACACTGTCATTGAAATTTCGTGGGTAGCTTGAAGTCAACTTGTCCCAATTTGACTTCCGAATTGATGCAGCATGAACCGCATGCTATTACTATTTGACATTTCGATTTGTTGTTGGAATCCTTCAGCTGAAGCAAGATAATCGCATACCTACTGAAGCAAGGCAGTGGCATACCTATAATGCTAGGTTTCTGCTTCCTCCCCCCCCCCCTTGCAATCCCACAATCTTAGGATTTTTGTCAGTTGACTGAACATGACTGCTGTGATGCCATTACACAACTGATATGACCATTTGTCACATTTAAGTTCATGCAGTGACACAGTACTCTCTGGAAGGACTTGTCTGATAACTTCAATCAGTAGGAAGCCTCAGGTTAAGTACACATTTCAAGCAACCTAAGATGACAGAAGAGAGGGGGGGGACGCATTGTCCTAGTGACCCTATTCATTGCTGGAGCCCCAGCATACAGCAGCCAAAATGTCACAGAAAAATGGTGCTTGCTTTCTTTGCTCTGAATTATCTTTGTTCCAACAGAGATACAGAAGTCTTGTTGCACAGCCATGAGAAATACATTCTCGTTATGTTGTTAATCTGAGACTGAAATTGCCAGGTCTATAAATCAGTGTGAATTCTATGTGGGGCATTTTTACTGGCTCTTGTATATTATAAAACTGTCAGGAAAAACTGTACATTTCATGTTGAACGTAGTGTGTGCATTCATTGCTGGTTTACCTATGTAAGAGAACCAGTTGCAGCTAAAACGGAATTGCACTCAGACGTTTTGCAATCTAGGTGTGATGATGTAGCATAGAAGCGGTGTTAGTCATTCTTGTACTGGTATGGCAGTTCCCGTATCCTTGAAGGTATTCTATGTTTCTTTGGTGTTTTGATATGCCCTGGACGTTATTGAGGTTAGGCACCATCACATATAGAAATGGCTGAGGACTAAGACTCTCTTACCGAGTTGCTTGCTTGGCCAAAACAGTTGTCAAGAAAGATGATGCAGCAGAAGACCAAGAAGATGATGGTCCATTTGGTGCAGATTTGGGAAGAGGAAAACCAATGCCAGATGCTGCCGATTTCGATGACCAGGTGATGAAGCTTGTGGCTTCCACTGGCACGGCAGAATGCTGGCATACACCTCCTTGCTTTTCTTATTGCATGGTCTTTGGACCCATCTTTTACTTTGCTGTTCTCCTCATCTAACCATTATATTGTTTCCTTCATTCCACTGACCCTAACAACCTTTTCCACATGTACTTAAGAGATCTGGCACACTGCTTGCATCTTTTGTTGAGCCCAACCTGGCTGTGTCTTATTTTTTTCAATACTTGTGTCAACAGCTGTTTGTTTCTTTTGAATGCTGCTTCCTTGCAGTGCAAGGCATCCTTTTGACCTTATCAGGCTTGTACTGGGCTCCACTGACACAGTATTTGCAGGCTCCTCCTGCTTACCTTCCAACTTTTCTTTTTGTCCATGTGCCAGTGGTTGGCATGCACACCTTTTGAAGCTCTTAATCCCCTTTCCTATGTAAGATCATTCCTGCGGTACAGTGTGTCACATGAAATAGAAATCGCTGTTAACTGGAGGTGTGTAGATATGTGAATCCAAAAATATAAATACAAATAAATAACTAGCTCTGTAACAATAATATTTGGTCTAGAAATTCACTGTTCAAAATTGTCAAATATTCATTTACGGTGCTATCATTGTGTGCTGGATAATTGAAAATAATAGTACAACTTTGCGATGGTGCAAAAGAAAATGCATGTACATGAATGACAAGTGATACCTTTCTTATGCTGTTTGTCGTAGTTTTCATGCCATTGCCTAAAAATTAATATTAGTAAAAATAATAGTTCCTTATTTACAAGCCTCTCACGTAGTCTAACAACTAACTAGCAATAGGCATAATGTGTGGATGCAGAGAAGCCTTTGTTTTAGAGGCTCACCAATGGCCAAATTTTTGTTTGTGACATGTACTTTTATGAGTAGGCCTGTGTCCCATAATAATAGTCTCATTTTAACTGCTTTAACATAAGATATAATCAGTGTTGGCATCACTAATTACGGTCAATGTCATCGTCACTTCAAAACACGCTCTCTAATTCAAGCCTCCTCCGCAGTAGGCCACATACACTCAAACTTCAGAGGTGTTGAGCCAACACTTTTCTAATCGGGACCAGGCATGCAAGAAGGAATGAAATGATGTGGGTGTTGTATGAGCTAGAGTGGGGCATACCAGGCATGCTTTTCTGCTGAAATGTGCTGCTTTAGGACACCTGCCCCATGAATACAAGTGATAAAATGAGTCAGTATTATATGATGCCTTAAGTTGTGGCAAAGTCTCTTTTTCTTGATGCTTTCGATTTCTACTCACTGCTACAGGGATTTTTTATACTTCTCTGTCATTTTGTAAATGTTGTGTATTTGCACTAAGTGATAATATGCTAATTGGGCCAGCATATGAGCGTTGGACAACATAAGGTGTTGCAACCTTGACTATGTGTGGACTTGTGATACAGCTGGTGAGTGAATGTCTTGTTGCACAGCATTATAAAATTTTCTGCTCCAAGGAAAGATGACATCACATGTGTTGGGGCAAATATTACACTATGTGATTTTTACCTCTAAACTTGTGCTTTTTCTCGCACTAACCTAAAAAATGTTTTCAGGTTATGACAAAAGCCACGTAAGGATTTTGTGCATTTTCATTCAATATCGTAGTGTTGAACATATTAGGGGATGAACATAGCAGGTTGAAATACCATAAAGTACTTAATGAGAACTCAGTGATAGAATTTTATATATGAGCCAGACAAGGGAAGTGCACAGAACGGCATGGCAGTCTTATGTTAGGTTGCAGAAATTATGAAGGATATTTCCTTACTTGCCATTGTGGTTGGCAGTCACACTTAATGGAGACAATAACAAGTCAACATCTATGATGCCCATGTAACTGTGTGTTGTGCTAATAATTGGTTCATCATAAAAACCACAAGCATTGCAGACATGTGGGTCTCGGAACATGATCCAATGACAGGGCTAGTTTTTAACTGATGGTTGCTCCTTTTTGTCACAATACAAGGTAATGCTACAATATTGTGAAAGAATATGGGCCTGGTATAAAGGGACACCGAAAGCTAATAGGAATTTATGTCAGAGTGAAAGATCAATGTTTGAGAATGTGTAAAATATCAGTACATATTATTAACAGTAGTGTTAAACTAAACAAATTAAGGTAAACATGCGACACCATATGTGCCACAAGTGGGACATTTTGGAATGGTCTCAATGACGTCAGGAATTCTGAGTACAATAATTCACTAGTAATCAAATCAGTTACAATAAAAAAGAACCGTATTTGCAATACAACACATAATAAAGATGCTATTTGTCTGTTTCTGTTTAGTACTGAAAAAAGAGCCGCTTGGCATTACAATGGGGCACGAGTGATTCAAAGGTTTCATTTTCTGTGAACGGATCCTCACTCTCGCTGTTGCATCTCAGTGGTAGTTTCGCTGCTTCTTGGTGCTGCATGTGCTTTGCTGGCGCATGGAAGTCGCTGCGATAGAAAGCTTGACAAAATGCTGCATGCATGTGATGTTGCCCGATGCCCAAATGTTGATACCGCTTGAGCTGCAGCTAAGTAACAAGCGCGACCTTCCACTGGGTGCCACAAAACGAACCCCTACGCTCAAAGTGGGTACGGTTGTATGCAGAACAGCCAAAACATCTGCGTGTGTGCTCGCTGTGCTTTCGTATGGAGCTTTACGAGATTAACCACGACTTAGGCGATGCTTACAATGTGCCCATATGGGCAGTAAAGGCGGGCCATGTTAGGCAAGGAAGGTGCTGCAAGGCCTGTTGAAGCGGGTGATTTCAAATGGGCTAATTCAGTGTGGACCACTAAAACAAGATATTAGGCATGAAAGTAGCACTACGAGCTTTTTGGACCGTTATTTCAACCATCAGTGACGATGTAATGTTTGCCTTTAGTCTTATCAAATATCAAGAATGTATATCTGCACTGAATAAGTCTCTCTCCCAAATGCATAGAAAGGCTGTTGAGCTTAGCTAGTTGAGCTTAACGATAGATGTTCATTGTGAAAGGAGGTCAAGTATACAGGCAGACATGAGAAAAGTGAGCCTGATAGCACAAACACCCGAAATGGCACACACACTCAGTCCATCAGGGGAGGCCGTGGCTCCCTTAGCCCCCCCTTTTGTATTATCTACTATCCTAATATTTGAGAAATGACAAGCTTGAGTTTATTATCATTTTTGTTCACCTACACAACAAGCCCTGCCATGTTTTTGTAATACCATGATATGCAACCTGTTTATTGCAGAACAACAGTGTAAGTTGTATGATTTTGCAGGGCGCTGAGGCTGACCAACTCCAACAGCAGCAACCCAACAATTTTCATGAAGACGGCATTGCAGCAAATCCGAAGTAGTGGCACAGCTTTTTTTTTTCTTGGTCTGCAGTGGACTGAGTACAGACACCTTTGGAGCATCATAATGATTTGACTTTATATGTGGAACGAGCCAAACAGAACTAAGCAGTGTTTTGCAAGTTTGTCCTTGTGGTGGTAAGAGGGAAGCATGTTTTCGAGTGCCCTTGTGATGCGACAGAGATTGGTTTCTCAACTGTTCACCACGAAAGAAGAGAGCGACGGTGATTTCCAGAAGCCACATTGTCTTCAGGAAGCCGGTGTGCACTGGAGCGGACATTTTGATGCCACCCAGTTTAAATATAGGCATTTGTTTTTTGAGTCGGATTTATCAGCCCCACCAATATGCTTCCATGCTGAAATGTGGTGGATTGCTGAATGCATTTCATAGGTGTGGTTCCTTGCTTCTACAGTTTACTAGTTTACTTCTTTTGTTCCTTTTGAGTGTTGACTGAGATTTTCCTAGGCAAATGAACAGGAGCTCCTTGAGAGCAGTTGTATGCAATAACTGTGTGCTTGTTTGTCCCTTGTTGTGCTTGTTTGTTCCTTGTTCTCTTGTTCCTACATATGAGATTTTCATTAAAGGCTCTTTTCAGTCACATGAAAATTGCATCACTTTTATCGAACCTCCTGCTTGCAGCAGCTCTCAAGCTTGAGTGACCTCTAAATACCATCAATGTGAGGGCATTTTTTTACATATGTAAGAGGTGCGTGCACATGGAACTGAGCTCAATCGATACTCATTAACCGTGGAGATGTCTTCCATGAAACAAAATTTTAATTGAGAGATCTGTAGAAACAGACGTCTGGAAAACTTAGAACTGCCATGTTTACTTAGAAAATTGTATCAGTGGTTTAGGTTTGAGATATGTTCAGTGTGACTAAAAGAATTTTCTAGCAAGGGTTTATAGCATAACTGGACCGTTAGTAATGCAGTTAAAAGTAACCCTGCCCAACCAGAAACCCTTGGCAAGTAGTTACCACAGAAATGGAGTGAACCCTATTAATCCCTGCCATAAATGACCAGGAAAAGTGCAAATAAAAAAAAAGGAAAAAACTTAAGCTGCCCAAACCTGTTGGTGACTACAGAGGTACTGGTCTAGCAGTGCTTTTTGTGGTCAAGACTTGCAAGCTAGCGCCGTTCTGTTCCAAGTTTACATAAAATATGGCAGCAATAGTTGGTGATACCTGCTTTGAGATCTTCACTAGCAGGTGATACCTGCTTTGAGATCTTCACTAGTGAAATGTGGCAGCAATAGTTGGTGATACCTGCTTTGAGATCTTCACTAGCATCACTTTGAACACTCGTTTTTCATGAAGAACATGCTAGAGGTGAATCTAGAAAGATTACTTTGCTATTTAGTATCAGTGTTTCATAGATGTTGTTGACCTGTTTTAGTCAGTACCACACAGACTTGTTACTTGCATCGGAGCATGCATCGAGAACAGGATTGTTTTCCCAGAATTCTTGTAAAGCAAAGCTGCAAGGCGGGCTTGTTGGTACGGCATATTTGAATAACAATGGTAGCGCAAGGCAAATGGGACACAAGAAAAGCGTGGAGACGCACACAGTGCTACACTTACAACAAATGATTTATTTCTGGGCACCCAGTGGTTCTTAAACACTTTTTTGCGCACAGCTGCAACTAACAAGCAAGTCTTCTTCAGCATTTTTTTTTTGGTCCGTTAAACTTGCAAGTGAACCATATCGCTTAAGGAGAAACAAAATTCATTCCTCACATTTTTCAGTTTGTGCAAATGTGTAGCAACTCCTTTCTTAACAGCACAGTTGACGGACTGCTGACACATGCACCACCAGTCCTATCTATCTATTACATTTCTACAATTAAGCGTGTTACTTCACATCGACTCCTGCCTAAGATGACGGCACCTTGAAAGCTTGGATTACGTGTGCATTTCTTGCAGTGCAGGGACAGGAATCGATCTGCTGGTGTTTTGTTCATTTTGTTGCTATGCTCATGCAGCCTGTCCTCTATAACCTGCCCATCTACCCTATAAGTTTTTCCACAATTTAGCGGAATGTGGTATGCAATATCTGTACAACAATCCCTGTATCTGTTAGTGCACCTGCTTGAGCATACTTTGTGTTACTGAAACGAGGACATGACTTGTGTAGACAGCCTCCTGAAGCCATGTTGCTTGCAATCTGAAGCTTGCATTCATTGTATGTGGGCATGAAATCTGCCAAGCGTTCTTACAAAAAATGATTTGCCGCTTCTCTTTTTAAGAGTTTGAAATGTTTTTGAATGAAAAGCGGCTTGTTAGCTCTAGAATGATATGACCAGCACGTGTGGTTGTCAGTAAGCAGAAAGTAGATGTCAAGAAATATGTTTCTTCAGGTTGTGAGAGAAGTAGAAATGTACGGGACTACAGCGATCTTGTTGCGATAAGCCTCCTCCCTCGTCGAGGACATGTCTTCAGCCTAATGTACCTGCTTCAGCATGCTTTCTGTTACTTAAACTAGGACATAACTTGGGTAGCCAGCCTCCTGAAGCCTTGTTGCTTGCAACTTGAAGCTTGCAACTTATGGTTCCATCAGTAGGCACCTCACATGTCAGTTCAAGTGGACTAAAGCAGTGTCGTGTACAAAGTTGAAAGCACCAGCACCCTCATTTCGAATGCTTTCCAATGTGCAGTCAAGAAAAATTCAGTGTTCTTCTGCATCTGTTAATGTATGTGCACCATATTTACTCTAATTGGAAACGAATGCCGTACAACTAAGAAGCAAAGTTCATCAATGATTGGTACGACGATGCTCACTCATTCTGAATGTCTTAAAAAAGTATAGGAGTTACGTTCTTTCAGGTCTATGTTTCGGTATCGCAAGCAAAATTGATCAAATTTCATTACTTGCTAATAATTTCGATCTGCTGCTCTTGTCAAATCTAAAGCAGCAACAGGCTCATCACACATCGGGCTGCAATTTTCTCATTTGACTCAACTGCCTGTCTCTACAAATAAAAGATTACGCATAAGCTTTTTTAGCCCCTTATATCCTTTGGACGAGCAGAACTCATCCAAGCGGAATAGGTCCTCTTCTCTAGCATTAGGCGAAAAAGCGTGCATTTGTGGCTTGCATAGCGTGTCTTGCACTAGATGGCAGCATTGCTTGAGAATTTAGTTTTTTCCTGTGGCAGGAGCATGGTTATTGTATGGAAGAACAGCGTTCGGTGTTGGCAACCCTTGCATAGCTGGCGCGCAAACATGAAAAAAAAAAGCTATTCATTTCAGGCATTTTGAGTGATGTTAATGAGAGTACAGATATTATCTTGTGTCCGTAAGTGAAGACAGCAATGACGGTGAATTGAGTAGCTCCTCCGGTGATAATGAAGACAGCTCGGACGCGAACAGTGCGAATGCTTGCCAGTGAAGCCGCTTTGCATTATTCAGAGTTCTAATATTTTACTCACAGCCTCAAAGCTTTAAGAGTAAAATCGCTCAAGGGTGCTTACCCTACACAAGTGAAGAAAAATGTGGTGTCTGTAAATGTTTTGTCTATAAGGTTTTTAATTTTATGTGCAGCAGGTTGATAGTTTCCTATGTATTGGTCAGAAATAAACTTTATTCTGTCCATTTGACTAAGTATGTGGGGAAAATATTTTTTCAACATTGACTAGCTATATTTTAGTATAATGGGATCTAAAATCATCAGTAAAAAAAAAACAAGTGCTTTTTGACCCGAAGTTTTTTTAAAAATGAGCAGTTAAGAGGTAATTACTATCATAACTGATGACTCTATTCATCTTAATATGCCTGCCACCACAAAAAAGGGAATTATGAAGGCAGCGCAAAACTATACAATTTTTCTTATTTCTGATGATTTTCAACTACGTTTCTCGAAACGCCCTTTATTTTTCTGTTGTTCATTGACTCAGACTTGAATGAAACGGTGACACAGAATTTTTAGATATATAGGTATGTTGACTTTCTTGTGATTATATACACATGTGATCCCCCGGGAGCACCACATTGCCATTAAAAAGTATTGGCAACTGTTTAGTTCTCATGGAATGTACCTGGTTTCTAATCTTGAGAAACTCAATTATGAATTGTAATTCTTAGACACTAATATATTCTTCAAAGACAATCTTGCATGCTGGTCATACTGTTCTCTTGCCAAAAAAAAAAGCTGCAGTTTAAACTTGATCTAACAAAAACTGATTTTACGAAGTTCTGGATATCACTAAGAAATCGCGGTATCCTACTGGCACCCACAGAGTTCAGTGTTGTCAACTCGAATTAACGAAACTCACCTGGCACAAAATTCAGTGTAGCAAAATCATTCTTGAAATAAATTGGTAAAACAAGTGATTTACTAGTTTTGATGCAGATGGGTTTTTCTCAGAGTGCGTGCTCGCTTTCACTTTAAAACTAGTAGATGTAACTGCGCTAACCATGAGCCTAGTTTTATTTTCACGAGGCTGCAAGCCATGTCCATACACGACATAACTGACCCAGCTGTCTGTAGTGCTAATAAACGAGATGGCGTAGCAGCAGTTTATTGTTTATTGTGTAGCAGCAGTTTAAGTTCTCCCGCTGCGGCAATTATGCTGGTTGCTTTCGTTAATTCATGGTTTATGTGACAGGTGGCACCGATAGTCCTGCAGCTTTCTTGCTCAGGTTTCTCACACAATTACTTCATTCATTCTCTCGTCTTTGTGTATGGCCTGGCTTGTCAGCCATGTCATGGCTTCGTGTGATCATAAAGCATTCCTACATTGACAGGGTATGAGAGGCTGTATGTCCGATATTCTACTGCGGACTTCTCATGAGTGTGCAGAGATGGGTTAGTAACAGATAATATGTCACAGTAGCGTTTGAGCAAGCTTAAATTCACCATGCCTTGCCGATTTAGCCTTTACTTTGAGAAGTTGGAATAACAAGTATGTATCCAGTTCGCATACAGTCAGCACAGAAGACGTGCAAAATACACTTTAATAATGAAAGGCTATCAAAGAGTATTGGAAAACAGTGTCGACGGCAGGAGTGGTGTTTTCAACAGAACTATAACGAGACCTACACCGTTTTATCCTGTCCTAATTAAATGTGCCTCGTAATTCTTGGCCAACTTCTATGTCTACTTTCCTGCTTGCTTCTAACATCTCTGTTTGCCATTTCTAATGTGTCTCTGCCTGCATGAGACTGTGACCGGACGATGAGTGTGCGCTTGTATATTTTTTTACTCTACCTGGCTCTGCCACCTACCTTTTTGGGCAGGGTCGCGTTGCAGATGTTTAATTGAGCCTCCTCTTGCAGTTCGTGCTTTTTCTGTAGCCAGGTAACTGCCTGTTATATTTGGTGAAATAGTCTAGCTGCATCGAGCACCAGTCATTCAACAGTGCCAAGATGTGGTGTGTATATTGCTTTGCTGGTTGCCATTTGCGTTTCATTCATTTGAAGGTTTAGAGGCGTATAGCTGTGTCAGTGCTGCAATCTGTCATTCTGCCATGCAAAACTTTTGCAAAAATAGCACTTCCACACCATCAAAGACATCTAGTAAATATATTTGCTGCTGTACAGCACAGGTGCACTCTTGAGTTTTTAGAAGTGCACGAGTGGTGATTTCGGCTGTCATGATGATAGGTGCTGCTTTGTTTTAAGGTGCAATTTGATGCGTACAAAAGCATTCACATGTAAACATTTTTCAAATGGCTGCATCACGGTTGTTGTCTAAAGAGAAAAAACCATGGGTTTTTCTAACAGTTATGTTCACACAGACACCTGTTGTGCAGTGCCGTGGTCCACCTCGCAATTGCTGTGTGGGAACACTTGCAAGATAACGCCCACAACTGGTCAGTACCAGAACAGGGAACCTCTATACTCGTTCAAATGGCTTCTCAGCAACACCAGGATTTGACCAGAGTATGTTCCTGCATACGAAGCTTTACTTGAGGCTACAGTTGTATACATCAAATTGCATTCGCCATAGTGGGAAATGTTCAAACAAGCTGAAGAAAGACACGATGTGGCAGAGTGAAATCGCGACAAAATTAGTTTATTGCACAGAACATGTATGTTTTGAGCATGCACAAGTATGCCACTGTACACTTATTTGGAATAGGGGTGTTCAGCAATTGGCAACAATAAAACAACAGGCAAGCAACATTGTTATGATAAAAAACAAGCGAAAAAATGTGCATCACAGTTGATATAAACAAAGTCAGTAACGAAAGTAACAATTGAGATTGCTGGTGTACTTTGTGCAATTGCTATGCACATAGCTAAGTACTTCACATAAATGTGTAAGTATATGTTACTTTGGGTTATGTGTTAGACCACAGTAATAAAGCATGCTTCATTGGAATTCACTGGCGTTTGCTTAAAGGGACCCTGAACCACCTTTTGTTGCAGTACCAAAAAACTGTGGAATGAGTGAACTTGCTGCCAGCGATCTATCGCTGGCATGACTTTAAAAAAAAGACGAGCACTTACATAGCAAGTGCTATCTTGGCCGAGCATGAGCAAGTAGCAGTTGGTTGCTCTCGAAAGTAAACCAAAATTTTGTACTTCTGCAGCTTGTTTAATTAAGTGTGCCCCACAATATTGTATGCATATTCATGAGAAGGGGTGCACTGATCCAAACATGCTACATGCTTTTTGACGTCATCTTGGCATGGTCACTGCTAATCTGCAGGGAGCAGGCATTTGTTCCATAAGAAGGATTTCACTTCGTCCGTTAACTTCATGTGGCCCACTCGGCTGAAAAATTCAGCTGGCATGTTCCCAGCTACATCATTTACCCATGGAATGCGCTCTCTGATCAAACCCACATGAGGAGTGGTTCAGAGGCCCCTTTGTGTTGCGACTGTGGAACAGGAGCATGCAGGCACTTGATCATTGAGGAATGTAAAAGCTTGTGATGGTGCTTACAAGCAAAAATATCAGTGGTATATTAAACATATGGGAAACATGAAGAAGCAGAAGACAAGTGTAAGTAAGTGTTGCCTTCGAGTTGGCAAAGGGTGACATTCCAAACCACCTACGGTAGGCAGCTTGGCATTTTGTTCAGAACTTCTGGAAGGGACCAAGTGTAAAAGGATCATAGCATGATATTCGCCTCAATGAAATATGGGAAAGCTGTGCCTCTGAAAGCTCGGTGTGGATATAAGTTTTTTGGGAATCAACATCAGTTTTTTATTTTTACAAAATTAGTAAATATATTGCAAAAATTAGCAGTAACGTAAATATGACTGCTTGTTATTACATTTCAGTAAATACACTACAGCACTGTTATATTGTTTGCAAATATAGGTTGTGTGTTGAGCACTAGTGAAAGCAGAGCAAGAAATGAAAATGTGTACGGTATTGTTCCTTACCAGATTCACTATCAATCTCGCAAGGGAGCTTAAGAAAAGTTACATCATAATAAAACACAGTTGATGCAAGTACCTGTAAGATCGCTATTAACAAGATATTCAATATTCTATATAATTACTACAGCTGTGCAGGCTGCTAGAATAGAAATTATTTTTAAAATTTGCTTGAGCTTTGAGCTTCCCAAAAAAAATCTTAAAATGTTTTGCGGTCACGCCGCCCTATTCGAGCTCCGAAATATGTGCACACATTTCCTGATGAAGTAGGTCAAATATAGTTAGTTACTGCAAAGCATAAGTCGTCATGGTACTTGTTCAACATCTTAATGAAGTAGTTCAGGTGAGATTTAAATGCTGTAACAGACACAATTTGCCAGTTCTTGTGTGATATAAAGTTTCAAACTGGGTCGGAGCTAGGAAAAAAAAACTTTTTAATGAATGTGAATTTCGCCATAATTCGGAGCTTCAAGCTGTAAGCACACTGCCACATTTCAAAGGTCAAGAGCTGCCTTAATTGCACGTTCAAGGTGAAAATTTTGCTTAGACAACAACAAAATAAAAAAAACAGTAATCTTAGCCACCTCGACTGTTGTCAGAGGAGGTGCTACTGGGCCCTTGGCATGACTCAGGACTTAGTTTAAAGCCATCCAGACCTTCATAAAAAAGCACGGCTCTGGTTTTTTGGCTTTAATTAAGACGGCTTTTCCGCTATGGACTGCATCTTCCTTCTCTCGTCATTGCTATCCATCGCGTTTATTTTCTTAACACAGAGTAGCTTGCTGAAGTAGTTGAATTGGTTTCTCCGCTTTTAAAAGCTTTAAAATTGTGTGTGCTGTTTGCAGCAATGCTCTGTACAGGCAGACACACACGTAGTGTGAAACTGTGATTTTTCACCATATTTTATTTACAGCGCGTGTTCGGTTCATCTTTGTTCTGTTTCACATTGACTGTATACTATTATTTGCGCACACTTATCAAATACACACAAACTTGTAAGGTGACCTGCTGGAAAGCATCTACAATGAGCAGCAGATAGAATATGCTTTTTCAAGCGGTACCGGTACGCAGCATAACTTGCCTACCATTTGCATGGTTGAAGAAATGAAGCAAGCTTGTCAGGTTCACCATTACACATTTCAGTGCTTTGTTCTGTTCGTACTGGCGGTGTTTGTTTAACAAGCGAGCTCACCATACTTTTATGACTGCTTATTTTGTTTTTTTTTTATTACAATGCTTTTCTGGCATGCTCTCTTTTTAGATTTACTACCATGGAAACAATTCTCTCATTAGACTTTTCCATAACCATTATAGGAGTCGTACACAAGTGTGGCGCACATTGCCTCATATGAAAGGTGAGAGGTGTTTTTACTAAATATTCTCGAAAATTATTGGTACTAGATCTGTATTCTTCGGTGAGCTTACGCAGTTCTCGTGTGAGCCGCAAGTTGGCGCGTGTGCAACAGAATGTCCTCTCTTGGCTGTGAACGAAAGGCCGGGCATCTGTGATTTTAAATAAAAAAAAATTCCCATACTTGCGCTCTTGCGAGACCACCATTTGAAAATCTGGCCACGGGCTGTGACTGTGACCATTTAGGGCTGGCAGCATGCCCTGCAATCGTCATCCATTGCTGGCTCTGAACACTCACAAGATTAGTGTATAGTGCTTCCCTAAGTTCGCCCGACTACAGTGTAGTTGGCGCAAGCATGTTTTCATTTTATGGTGTAATCAATCAGCACGTCACCGTCTGTAAAACGGGAGTTCACTGTTGCATTTCACAGCTGGTGTGGCCGAAGAGTCGGTGCGCGATCACCTCCGTTCGGAGCAGACGCCATCTTTGCAAGCCTGGCACAGGTCGGCGTTGTGCGGGTTTCGCGGCTTCCCCGGCCGCCGGTTCTTGTGAATTGGTGGCTGCTGGAAGCCGTAGTAGACTTGGCCCACCCGGTTGTAGATGTTGACCAGCACCTGCGAGCCATAGGTCAGTGACGTCACTTTATTCGCTTCTGGTAGTAAGAGGAACGTTTTGTTGCTGAAACAAACGCACAGCACTGTTAACGGGGACCTGCTACACTTTTTCAGCGCAGCCAGAGAGCTCAGCTGATCGGTAGTCGAGATTCCCGAAAACACGCGAGCCAAACATGCCATAGGCGTGCACACGAAAGGGGGGGGGGGGCAGCGGCCGCCCCTCCTTGGTCACCTAGGAAGGGGGGCGCAAAATCTGCCCCATCTATTGACTCAGGGCAGGTGGGCGCAAAGTTTGTCCCATACATTGTCTTTCACGTCGGATATCAATGGCGGGGGTGAAAATTCTTGTTTTTCCTTTTCGCCCAGTCATCCGCTAAGAATAAATGTTTCAGTAATTTCATCATCTGGTGGAAATTAGCTAGGTTACAGCCACAGAGATGTCGGTTCTACTGAGTTAGCATACATAAATGAAACAAAATGATTACAATGTTGGTCTATTTTTTTCTGTTCATGTTCTTGGTTTGCAACCTGTCAATACTTCTGTTAGAAAGTTCGTAGGAAAGCCTGACCGCTTGCTCGTTAAGCAGTTTCATTATTTCATTTGTTTATCTTTAATCCATATTTCCAGCTTGGTTTAGCTTAATAGGGCTTCTTTACCTTGAAAATACTGCCGCTCGATTCTAGGTTCAGTCCCCAGTGGGTTAGCGCCAAAAAATCATCATCATCATCATCATCATCATCATCATCATCATCATCATCATCATCATCATCATCATCATCATCATCATCATCATCATCATCATCATCATCAAACATCATCGTTGTCGTCGACCCAGCGGCTGTTATTTTCCGTTTCTTCAACGCTCAAAGCCGCTCATTTGCTTTTCCGCGCGACAAAGCAGCTCTACAGAAAAGGACCCTTCTGGGGTCCGCTGAAGTGGTTTCTGGAAAAAGGTCGCGAAGTAATAACCTGGTTTCAAGTACTTGCGCCACTAGCAGATATGTTTTGCGAAGTTTTTTGGCAAATATAGATTTGTAGCGAGAGGCGAAGAGACGTGTGGGGATCTCGCCACTTTATTCTCCAGGATCAAAGCGGAGCGGCGATGGCTGCCTGCGTCGTAGCCACCAGGCGCGAGGACTTGATCTGTTCTAGCGCGCGCCTCGAGCTCCGGCACGAGCGGCGCGAGAGGCGCAGCGCTGTGACTAAGAAATTATGATTGACGAGGATGAAGGCGCTACGGATTCGATGAAATGACCAGCTTTTACGCACTTTGTCTCGTCGAACGAAAGCGAAACCGTTTACAAGTGCTGCTCAACACTTTTCGTCCGGCCGACGTGCTTGAGCGTCGGAGTCCTAAATTTGCTTCCGAGTGTAATTGTATATGATTATTATTAAAAGTCACTTTCCGCGTGTCTTATACAAGCAACAAATTATACTGAATAATTTTTAAACCAGTAACCTGCTATGCTTTTTTTTTTGTGGTGTCGCATTTTATGAACTCCACTTTGGATCAAAGCTCAGGTAGAAGTTGAAACTGTGGCGGTGAAAGTTGACACCATACTGTTGTATTAACGTCTTTCGTGGTGCTGATTGATGCAGTTCTGAACTTAGACGATCTACTGGGGCAGACTGGAAGTGATCGACGCAAGCACAAGTGAGTGACCGGACTATCACGAGCGTGCTTTGCATTACGTACCTTTCCTTGTCTACTGTTTGCTCAGATGATGTACTCCGATCAGGTACATAGATGATCATCGATAGGCGATCATGCACATCTCCAACATATCACTGGGCATTGTTTAAATCGCAACCATTTGTATGTGTATACTGATTGTGTTTTACAACGAATGCTGTTGTGATATCACGACATCCAATTTTTATGGTGTAATTGTTCGCCGCCGCCACTGGTGTCCCGCTATCGGGCCATGTAGGAAAGATATTAAGGATTGGATGCAATTGTAATTAGCGTGCTCTGCGAGGTAGTTCATCGTCCTACCACAGATCCACGCCGGTGTCTGAAGCTTCTTCGCAAAATGACCTTATAAATCCGTCATGTTAATTGGGCAAAGAATCAGGTTAACCATGCGTAATATAACGTGTAGAATCAATATAACAACCAGTCGTGACACAATGTGAATCGCGTAGCGAGCGGGTTGTTTAAAGCCGGGGTCTCTAGCTCACCTCAGCCAGCGGGCCACAGTTACGGTATTTAGTCACGCAAAAGCCAAAAGGCAAGGGGGGAGGCTCACAATTTGCCAGCAAACGCTGTCATTTGAAACAAAACTCTCTCACATTTCACATGCTGGTTGGCCAAGTTTTCAACATGTCGATACCGATCTCCAATATGAGTCAACTCTGTACACTGATTGTGAAGTATAATTTTTGTTTCACGGTTACATTTCAATACAAGTTAAACACATCAGATGCCCCCCCCCCCCCCTGATACAATGCCTTAAACAAGTCAGGCCTGTGTAGCTCACGAACGTACATAATAATTTTTTTATTTGGGGTGAAGACAGTCATGTGCTGGCCGCGGACCGCAACCAAAAGCCTCATGGGCCGCGTGTTTGAGACCGCTGGTCTAAAGCCTTCAGCCCATTATTTTATTAGTTTTTTTATTTATACATACTCCTACTACTATTATACTACTTATACATACTTCTAACAAGAGGGGGGCAGGAATGCTGGAAACATATGTGCTGTGTTTCGACTACGCTTACAGTTGGGGGGGCTCGGCGAACTTGTCAGACTGAGATGTCAAGGCTATCTCACTGCGCATGCGTGGACGTCCCGTCCCTTCGCGTGAAAAGTGGACATTCACCTTGACCACTTCCTCCGGGTACCACATGGCCGGCTCATAGCGGCCCACCTTGCACTTGTCGCACTGCTGGCCGTACAGCTTGAAGGTGACCAGGCCCTCGCCGTGGCTCGTCAGGAGGAACCAGAACGAGATGCGACCCTTCATCGAAGTCCAGCCGTGGCCGCACTCCTGCGACCGCCAATAAAGCGACGGGTGACGTTTACGCCGGGCGGTAAATTATCGTTTCTGAAAATTACGTGACTTCGCCACTCCGGGTTTGTAAAGTTGACAAAAGTTAAGTGTACCGTTTTTGAATTTCCCGCCAGAATCAATGCACATGAACGCCAGGGTGAAGTCACGGATCCAACGTTCTTTTGAATCCGTGGCACGGATCGAGAAAAAGATCGTACTTCTCTTTTAGCGTGCCTTTACCGTTACGGAGATACCTGCAGCGTTTACTTCACCAAAAGACTTATAAGATCTGTTGAACTCAAAAGGAGACTGGATTGTAGGGAACAGATCTTTTGTTATATAATTAGAGTTTTTGTTAATGTTATTTCCTAAATGTTGCGTCATACTGGACCATATATCAACGTTACAAACTTACCAATGAAGAACAATATAATGATTATGGAATAGACCTAAAGCTAAAACATAGGCGCACGCACGGGGTGTGGCAGGGAGAGGGGGGGAGGAGGCTAGTCACCAAAGGGCACAGTAAGCCCTACAAACATTGACTTAATAAGGGGGGGGGGGGCGCTGCGACTCGGGGAGGGGGAGAGGAGGGGGGCTGCAAAGTCAAATCTACACATTGACGCACTTAGGAGGGGAGCGCTGTGAAAAAAAAAAAAAGCTTCGCCCTCCCCCCCTCCCTGAAGGGGAACCCTGCGCACGCCTATGGCTAAGACATCTTGTTATACTGTCTGTGAAATGTATGACTTATGTAAAAACACGGCTTTCGCTATATCGTAGCAAAGAATAGTAATATGTCTCGGCAAAATGTATCTTAATATTCAAGGCGTTACTATACAACGCCCTGAACGGCACGAAGTTTAAATAAAGTGATACATTTACAGGTGAACCTCGGTGTCATGCGTTCAAAAAAAAAAAAAGAAACGCGAAGAAATGCCCTATCGGGGTAAACATACAAGCCAATAACAATATCTGAGGTCTTACGTCCCAAAAGCCACGATATGATTATGATGAGCGCCGTAATGGAGGGCAACGGAAATTTCGGTCATCCGGCGTTCTTTAATGTGCACTGACTTCGCACAGTACGCGGCGGGCCTGCATATCATATTTCGACTCTACCAAAATGCGGCCGCCGCGGTTTAACTCGGGGCATTCGGTTCAGCAGTCGAGCAGTGCAATCACTACACGGTGGACAACGTACAATGCAAGTTCATCGAAACATCGCGTTGTTTCGCTCGATAACGATATCACGATTGACGGCGCTGGGTAATCATACGAAACAGGGCGAAAGAAACGAAACTCTGCTGTACTTTTCTTTTACAGTTACGATATCGCGAAGTTAAGTAAAAAAAAAAGGTGCAGTTTTCGAAGCGCACGTTGTAAAGGAGACTAGAGACGAGAGTGCTGCTGCGACGAACCCACCTCGCAGCAGAAGCGCACTTTGGCCGAGTCGACGAACGTCTGCCAGTTGACGCCGATGGGGCGCTGCACGACCGGCAGCAGGTACCACGTCTGGGGCACGTACTGCGAGAACAGCTTCTGGAACTCGGCCTGCCACACCTGCTCCATGCCACTGCAAGCAGCGCAACATTGCTCGTGTAACCACCAGGTTTGCAGCTTACCAAAGCGAACATTTCGGGGAGGGTGCAGACCGATCAAGTCGGCATTCGAGTGCAGGCAGGGAAACTTTTACGCGTGGCCGCGGTTCTCCGCAGCAGCACGCTGCTTTTTTGGGGGGGAGTAACAGGATATATTCTTGGTGTAACTGCAGAAAAGGAGGCTTAACGCATGGTGGCAAACTTGTAACTGTATCGCTCCAGAAGACAGTGCTCTGTTGAATGAGAATAACCGCGTTCCTTTTGTTTATATCCAGACAACGATGAAACTGCATTTCCGCGAAATGGTTTTGGGACGTTAAACCCCACATATTAATCAATAAATCATTTCCGCGAAATAGTTGAGTGGCTGTTCAGGAGTCAGTGAACCACCAGCCTTTTGAATGTTACAACAATCGCAAGGCTGACGTTTCTTTTGCAGCGATACGTCGGCGGGAATTAATTTGAACGCAACACATGTTTGGCGTTTTCAGTAAATGTGTAGACTACACGGAAGAAGTATTTCTGGGCCTGACAGAGCCCTCGATTCCTCTCATTCCGGACACACAGAATTTTTCTTCTTTGTGGTAGTTAAACAGTCTAGGAAACTAACTTAGCCATACTCCGCAGATACGCTAGGCCACTGGTTCAGTTTTTTTCCGGAACTACGCAAACAAACATTAAACGCGGTCACATATTATCATTTCGAGCGCATCATTGCATTTGTAGAAACTGACTGTAAGAATTCTTTCGCTAAAACAGTTGAGGGATCGCTTCCTTGGCTGCACGGCAATGCGGTGTCTAAAAGCATGTGATGTACTACGAATGAGAAGGGCACGGCTTCCAAAACGACCGAATTCCGATGCGGATACGAAAAGCACGTTCAAAAAATCCATCAAGTGATCAGAATTAATGCGTACTTCTCCGCTACGGGGTGCCTCATGTACGTGTAATACCACATAATTTGTTGAATGTCATCATTATGAAGTGAAATTTTAAGCGCAAATAAACGGAGCAGTACTAAGATTCTTCTTGGCCTTGCGTAATTTATTTGCGCTTGAATTTTTATCGGTTTTACTTCATATTGCGATACTAACTGGCCCATCTGACTATCCCGCTACATTGCTGCCGTCAGTTGTACTGTGTCACGTTTCTATGCCGCTCACATGGCTGGTATTTTGTAAAGTGGTATTTGATAAGCGCTTCGCCGAATCATACAGTGTCGCCCGAAAGTTTTTTTTTTTTTTCCTTTTCTCGGAGTATCCCACCGTGAGCACTGACATGACTAACATGCTTGCGTAGGAAAGGGGAGGGGGTGGAGCGCAGGGGTACTGACCCTAATCATGTGTGCTTGTGAAGGTTTGTGACGATGATCAATCGATCACTGTACGTGTGATAGTCATCATTTGATGCCTGGAGCATAGCCGGGTCGGAGAGATAAGCCAGGCAATAAACCAGACTAATATCTCCGGGAATATAATTAAATATTGCTCTCTCTCTCTCTCTCTCCCGTCATTGTTTACAAATGAATGACGGGTGACGGCCACGCTGGTTAGTTTCTTGGTGATAACGGTAACCTAATGGTCGCCACGCTGAATCCCAAAATTGGTTCACTTTCCATCTTCACTCCCGGAAAGCCTGGATACCAAAGACAAGCCAAGCACGCCATCGCCTCATTTTCCTTTGGACTCGACCAAAAAATTGAGGGGGAGGGGGAGGTGCTGCGATGAAACTTTGCCCCCTCTATCGGGAAAACGCGCGCCTATGATAGCCAGCAAAAACTTGGGTAACCACGGAGATCGACAGCGTGACAGTGAGGCTTCTATGGCTCTGGTGGCACTCGTGGGCAAAAAAAAACAAGACGCGTCACCGAATGCTAGCTTCCAGCATATACAATGCATGAACGAGCCAGACGCGTGATATTGTTTTGTCGCACATTAGTGCTGCTTTTTGCCGAGCTACAGAGGGAGAAGGCAAAGAGAAGTTTCAAGATGGACAAAATGAGGCGGCATGGTCGTGTCGAGGAGCTAGAAGACCGTCGCTGCTTTCCTCGTGGTTCTTCCAGCGACGGACGCGGGGCTTCCCTGACCTACTGCGAAGCGTGCACTGCTTCAACAGAGCCCGCCTGCTTGGAGCTACCGAATTGCGCCAACGCGGCACAAGCCGCATAAAGAAACAATACCAATGAAATTTAAAAAGAAATGCGTGCAGAGTCACTACACACGACGAAAGAACCGACGAGGACATATGCATGCGCTGCTCGCTTCAGTCCTCTGCGGGTACTGCTTCCCTCCTGTTGACACGTGAGCCGTGGAGGAAATAAAAAGCAACCCCCCTTCCCCTTTTTTTTTTCCCCTGCGCGCTGCCAATTCGACACTCATGCTGTGTGCAGTGCAGTGGCGGATCCAGAGGCGGGGGGCGGTAGGGGCAATCGCCCTCCCTCCCCCAAGTCTGTGTCAGCACCCCCCCCCCGCCCCCTCGGCTCAGTGCTTGTCGTCCAGCTCCTGTCACCAATTAGGACAAATGAGTGAAACCACTGTGAGCACACATCAACACTATTTATGCTATAAAAGGGTTTTCCTGTTAGTAAAAACAAAAACTCATGACCATGCCCACTTCTCAAATGTTACTTCAAATGACGCCCCCCCCCCCCCCCTCTAAAATGAGTGGCTGCATCTGCTTTTGGTACAGTGGCACAGTGGGAGTCACTGGCGTCACGTGCCATGTCACGTCAGCTGGAAAAGTCATTCGCCGCCACCGTAGCTATGAGTGGCGCTGCCTACCCACTTCCAGAATTACGCGCACACAGACGTCAGACAAAACTTCAACAAAACTCGTACGGCCTCTTACGCATTCGCCTCTGGTGACTCGCAGGCGAAGGCCATCTTCATTTTGTTTTTGTTCTCAGTCGATGTATTGATATTCTTTAGACCACTCCGAAAGCTCTCTGCACAGTGGCGGCACAAGCGGTATATGCACGGTGGAGGGGGGAACGGCTAAGCTCCACTTAAATTTTTTCCGCCTGCCTCCCCCCCCCCCCGAGTGAACATAATCATAATTAAAACAAAACGAATGAGTTCACCGCATTCCTCTCACCTCGGTGGAACTCAATTATCGTGGGTGCCCCCCTACAAAAAAAAAAAAAAGAAATAAAATCCTGGAGCCGCCCCTGTTTCTGCACCTAACATGGTTCTTGCACTGTCCAGGGTCGGAAGCATTGCACGTTTTCCGCACTTCACCAGCTTATGTACAAGCTCCGTGATCAGCCTGTCTTTTACCGCGAGAATTTCATCCGCTGATTACGTGACGTCAGATTGTGTCGTCCCTAATTTTGTCAATGTGTGACGCCATATGGTGACATCATCTCATGATGATGATTTTTAGCATCACTCGCGTTGACGCCTACGGTGCACTTTCACCTTTGATGAGGCATCGAAGGCTTTTGCCTTAAAATAAGGCAGCGTGCTGGGTGGAGACCGTCGTTCAGGGTTCCACTGGATATATCGGCTCGGAGATCCTATGTCGAGTGTCGCCAAGATCTTATGACGAGTGTCGCCGTAGATCCTATGTCGAGTGTCGCCAACCGAAATTCGAGTTCGAGCAGTGACGTCCACAACGCACAGAAATGTCCAATAAATATGGGCGGGGGAACGACCTCCGTCGGAGTACGGACGCCTTATCCGAAGGTTGTGGGATTGGTTCTAATTGACGGCAGTTGCTTTTCTTTTCCCCACTTTCGTAAAGTTTCATTTATGTGATAACTGCAGCGCTACATGAAAAAAAGTGCAAACATTGGCCCCATAACTTTATAGACTTCACAAGAGAATAAATTCGGCCTTGCTGGTATGAGACGTTAGGCACTATTCAGCGAAAAGTAACGCATGGATGATGAGAGAGGACACAGCACGTGCGCTTGGCTTCGTCAGCTTGGGCATAGCGAAGAAAACGAGCCCTCGATCCATCCACGTTCTTTCAGTCGAAGCGGGGTTCGCTTGCGCATCCCGCCATGCCCTTACTTTTTGAAAAGCGCAGGCAACTATTTCATTACATGGAAAGTTTTCAGCGCGCACACAAAAATCAAATGTGTGTTCATCCGCTTGCGTTCATGTCGTGCTACCGAGACTTCTGAATCGCTGTCTCTGTAAGGTAGCTTGAAATAATTAACTGAGAGGTCACTGTGTCGACTCGAACCAGGTACAAAGAGGTTCGCCCACGATTCTTCGACTTCCCGGTGCGTTGACAAGAAAGGCTTCCCGCTTTCGGTCTACGAGGATGTTATAAAAGTGCGCTCGTGAGGACTGTCACCTCTGTTCGTGCGCGCCTAAATCGCGGAAAGGCCGAAGAACACCGTTGCACGCACGCACGCACGTATTTCGTGAAGTGCTTTACTGCACTCCCCGAAATATTCTTGACACGGCAGACCTCAATGAAGACGTGCGCAGAGAGGGACAGTTTTCTTAGCAAGTTGCACACTTCGTGTTTTACAGCTGATGCGCAAAAAATAAATAAAAAGGTAGACAGCACACTGTACAGCAGACTGAAGCAGACAGCTTCAGTTGTAAGCGGGCTATACCAATTATAGCCCGCTCCCACACCTTCACACTTGGCTTGTGGGTGTGTTTCCGTGATTGGTGGCCACAAGGAGTGCGCTCAATTGTGCATTTCCCTGCTGTATATTGGCCCGTGCCTGCTGCCATTTGTTGCTTGGCCGTCCGTTATCAAACACCGTATGTCTGCATAGTTTGATGATTGGGTTGGTTCCTTAGCGAGCTTCGCAGAGCCTGCGCCGCTCTGGCCCCTCTTAGACCTGTTTCCCCAAACCAAGCTATAGGCTAGCAGACAGGGTGTCAATATCTATTCAGCGCCTACGACTTTCCTTTTCATCTACACTTCTCTCTCGGGAACCATAAAAGCACAACCATTGCAGCACGTAGCCAGTGCTGAGGTTGTGGTTCAGTAATTGTGGTTTTGGTATACA